AGGAAATACCGGGAGTAGAAACCCCTGCCCTGGAATTCCCGAGGCACCTTCTCCACTGCGCCCAGGGTGAGGAGGCGTGTCACCTCCTGGTCCAGAAGAAGGGCGTGCTCCAGGTCCCCGGGGATTTCCGGGGGCGAGGGGTGGTGGAGGGGGGGCAAAATGAACTGCAACATTTAGCCCCTGGAAATGGTGCTGAGGACCCACTGGTCCGACGTTATACGGGACCATTGCACTCGGAAGGCAGATAAACGGTTGCAGAACACAAACTTTATTAACTGGGGGGCTCTCCTGGCAACAGGCCAGGTGCCCCCCCGCAAAGAATCAAAAGCGCCTCTTCCCCTGCCTTTTGCCCTTGGAGGGCCCAGGTCGCGGGGCCGAGCGGGACTGGCGCTGGGATCGACGCCTCTGCTCCCTCGCCCTCTTAGGTGGAGGCTCGTGTCTGCTCCCTCGCCCTCTTAGGTGGAGGCTCATATCTGCCCCTACTTGGAGGAGCCGAGGTCTGTGGCCTGGGTTTGTCCTTAGCCGGTGGGACATATAGGCCCAGAGTTTGCAGGGTGGTGCAGGAGTCCTTCATCCCGTGTAGATGGGTGTCAGTCTGATCCGCAAACAGGGCTTTCCTGTCGAAAGGCAAGTCCTGCATGAGGGACTGGGACTCCGCGGACAGCCCTGACAGCGAGAGCCATGACACCCTGCGCATGGCAACAGCAGAGGCCATCGAACGGGCTGCTGTATCTGCCATGTCCGAAGCTGCTTGGAGGGCCGCTTTCGCCGCCACCGTGCCTTTGTCGACCAAAGCTCTGAACTCCTCCTTATCCTTTTCCTGAAGAAGAGGTTTGAACTTTGGCAGGGACCCCCACAGGTTAAAATCATAGAGGCTCAGGAGGGCTTGATGATTAGCCACCCTGAGCTGGAAGCTCGCGGATGAATAAACCTTCCTGCCGAAGGTATCCAGTCTTCTGGCGTCTTTATCTTTGGGGGTGGGCGCGGGTTGGCCATGCCCCTCTCGGTGGTTTACCGATTCCACCACCAGAGAGTTGGGTACCGGGTGACAGTACAAATATTCGTGCCCCTTTGCTGGCACAAAGTACTTCCTCTCTGCCTTTTTTGAAATAGGCGCCAAGGACGCCGGGGTTTGCCAAAGCGACGTGGAGATATTGGCCACCCCTTGGTGGAGAGGTAGGGCCACACGGCCCGGTGCCGAGGACGACAAGACGTGGAACAACGTGTCCGACGGCTCCTCCATCTCCTCAGCCTGGAGCTGGCGATTGGAGGCGACCCACCTAAGGAGCTCCTGGTGAGTCTTAAAGTCTTCCTGTAAGGCAGGTGGTGGCACCACAATGGATTCCTCCGGTGCCGGTGAAGGGACCGGATCTGCTCCCGGTGTCGAGGCGGAGACATTGAATGCACCTGCGATGCCCCGGCCACCGAACGGGGTCGTGCTGGTACCGGCGGTTGGGGCCAAGGTGCCCACTGACACCATTGTCCATGCCAGGGTGCCCCTTGCCAATGCCCCACTTGGGGACCTAGCAGAGCCGCTAGATAGTGCGGGGTGGTGCGGCCCGGGGATGGGCGGCTGGGTGCCAAGGACAACGTTGCTGACGTGCACACGGTGCCACACGAGCGACGGGAACGTCCACGGCCTCGTCGGTGCTGGCCTTGAGATTTAGATCTCGACGAGGAAGACCTGTACCCATCAGAGGTACTGCTTCCAGAGTCACCACGGTGACCGTGGCTACGACGGTTAGGTGCCAGTGCTGGCCGAGGGGTGCTTCGTGAACGACGCCTGTCGGAGCGATCACTCGAGTCTGAGCGTTGGTGCCGATGGCGTGGAGACCTGCTCCTATAACTCCTGTAGGTGCCTGCGACCCCTCCCGGTAGCGGAGGACCCTCGGGACTCCCTCTCAGGTGAGTCAGCGAACGGCGTGGGCGTCTGGCGCGGGCTACGAGATGGCCTCGCAGAATGGGTAGGCACCTCATCCTCGGAGCGGGGGCTATGCCGAACTGGGGAGGGTCGATGAGCTCCCAGTGGCGGCTTCCCTCTGGAGCAAGGGCCCATCTCGGGTGGCACACTTGGCACTGGAAGGGCGAGAATATCACGCGCCGCCTGCGCTGCCTCCGGCGTCAATGGTACCCTCACTGCCGAGGAGACACGCACTGACGGGACCGGACTACTCCACTCAGCGCGAGTCAGAGGTCTGGGTCCCGAGGGGGATCGTGGGCTGCCCAACTCAGGTGCGGACTTGCCCCTGTCCTTTTCTCGGCACCGCTGAGTCTTCCCTTGCTTCTTAGCGGGGGAGTGGTGCCGACTAGCTGATGGGGCGTCGCTGCACACTGAAGACGCGCCCGGCGCCGGATCGGGATGACGTACTGGTGCCAATGCCGACTCCATTAGTAAGGCCCGGAGACGGATATCTCGTTCGCATTTCGTTCTTGGTTTGAACGACCGGCAGATTTTACAACGCTCACTTACGTGAGTCTCGCCCAGACAGCGAAGACACTGAGTATGTGGATCGCTTCTGGGCATAGAACTGCGACAGGAGTCGCACGACTTGAAGCCTGGGGCATGGGGCATGCCCCGAGCCAGGCCACTAACTAGAAATTCGGATTACTAAGAAGAGTTGTACTACTAAGGTTTGCAGTGCTGCAGCAGAGCTGGAGCACTAAGTTCCGACTACCTTCACTGGCGGCAAGAAGGAACTGAGGGTGGGGGGAGTGCACAGCTCCCCTTATAGCGCGATATAGAGGCGCTACTCCAGGGGTTGCAGCGGTGCTCCCCCACTACGGGTACTGCTAAGGGAAAAACTTCCGGCACCGGTTCACGTGGCGAGCACGCACACCTACTGTGGAATACACAGGAGTAATCACTCGAAGAAGAATCAACCTTCTGCTGGTGGCATCTGACTCTGATGATGAAAATAAACATGCATCGGTCCACACTGCTTTGGATTGTTATCGAGCAGAACCAGTCATCAGCATGGATGCGTGTCCCCTGGAATGGTGGTTGAAGCATGAAGGGACATAGGAATCTTTAGCGCATCTGGCACGTAAATATCTTGCGACGCCGGCTACAACAGTGCCACGCGAACGCCTGTTCTCACTTTCAGGTGATATTGTAAACAAGAAGAGGGCAGCATTGTCTCCTGCAAAGGTAAACAAACTTGTTTGTCTGAGTGATTGGCTGACCAAGAAGAAGGACTGAGTTGACTTGCAGGCTATAAAATTTTACGTTTTATTTTTGCATGCAGGTTTTTTTTGTACATAATTCTACATTTGTAAGTTAAACTTTCATGATAAAGAGGTTACGCTACTGTACTTGTGTTAGGTGAATTGAAAAATACTATTTCTTTTGTTTTTTTACAATGAAAATACTTGTAATCAAAAATAAATATAAAGTGAGCATTGTACATGTAGTATTCTATGTTATAATTGAAAGCAATACATTTGAAAGTGTAGAAAACATCCAAAATATTTAAATAAATGGTATTCTATTATTAACAGTGCGATTAATCGCACGATTAATCACGATTTTTTTTAATCGCTTGATGTCTCAACAATTACTTGAAATTAGGGCTAACTAAATTATTTAACACAGTATCAGGGACTTATATAAAAAGATGCATTTTAAAATAAAAACTGAATAAAGAAGACAAACTGACTTTCATAAGCTTGAGCAAATGAAGACATTTTGGCTAAGACAAGGTGGGTGAGGTAATATGTTTCACTGGACCAACCAAAGACAAGTTTTTGAGCTACACAGAGCTTTTCTTCAGGTCATTCTGGCTGATAAATTATGTCAAACAGGAGACTCACTGGCAAGTCAGTTTAGCACAATCAGACAGGCTGTTTGCGATTTGTAACAAGCTTTAGCCAACTGCTTTCAGTGGTCGGATTTCCACTGCCTTTCATAACTTGGGATTAACAGCGGTATATAGCCATCTAGCCACATTTTCAACAGTCTTCTCAGAAGCACAGTAAAAATGTAACCATTCTGACAGAATTCAACACCACGTCTTTTGGGACAAGAACTGCTACACAAATCAAAGACACTAAATACTCTTATAAATGGGAAAAATGTTTCTATTTCATCAGGAACCCTTTTTACACTAAACCCTTCACCCAGACCACCTTATGAAAGGAAATGTACAGCAAACATCTGGGGGAAAACCTACTTAATATCTTTTCCTTCTCTTATTCATCAAAATTTGTTATTTAACAAAAAAGCTTAATAGAAACAAACAGGACTAAAAAGCAACAGAGGGTCCTGTGGCACCTTTAAGACTAACAGAAGTATTGGAGCATAAGCTTTCGTGGGTGAATGCCCACTTCATCAGACGCA